ATAACTGATCTAGTCCTTTGAGGAATTAGAACTAGTCACATAGACGAAAGATTCGCTCCATGGAAAAACAATTACATGATTATTAACTAATTTATTTTCTTTCTATAATTAATTTTTAACCACCACTTGCTATACTAATTTATTTTCTTTCCATGGTTAATTTTTAACCACCACTTGCTATACTGACTACTGTTGAAGTTTTAAACTGCAGCAAAAATTGAAATAAACATGCAGCAGTTGAAAAAGATACTAACCCTTTCAAAGTAATTATCTGTGACCCTCCTGGAACATGGAACAAACCAAGTTGCGTATTAAGCAAACTTGAATGGCGAAGAAAACATAATTGAACCACATCAATTCGGCAAGTAGCTTGAAAATGACCAATCTTAAATAATCTCAAGAAATTAATCTTTGAATTAAACTTGTTTGTCAGAAGGATTTTGACACCCTTCTTTACATCTACTCACATGGGGTGGGATCCATGTGGGCCCACGGGCAATAAATTGAGGACAATGCTACACGTACACCCTCTTTTTTACCTAATCTTTTACCCACAATCACAATACACATTTGTGAGTTTTTTATTCACGTGGGCCACGCGCGCATGTGAGATGGTGTAACATTTTCGGTACACTATTTCCGATACAAATAGAATTATTCATAAATTAAAGTGCAATAAAAAATGTCAACCCCCCATGTGAGGGGGTCGGTCAGAAGGACCCCTTCTGGCAACATAGCACGCTTGTTAATCTTTTCACCAATTTACAAGTGTACTTCATACATTACGATTAGACACTGACACAGAGAAGACTTTTTTACATACAACACAAATACAACCAAGGAAAAATTACAATCTAAAAGTCTCCATGGCCATGAGATTGCATTTAATAGCCACAACATAGTCTCAAGAAATGTTCTTCCTCAATTTGACTAATAACTGCATAACTGATCTAGTCCTTTGACGAAGAACCAGTCACATAGAGGAGAGATTCGCTCCATGAAAAAACAATTACATGATTATTAACTAATTTATTTTCTTTCTA